AAAAATATGAGACATGCATCATTTGAGAATGCAAGACCACTGTTGCAATTCTTAAAATCAGTAGATCCCACAGTCCCCACGTTGACAATTATCCATCATAATGCACAAGGTCTCCCAACTCACATGGAGGACATGAGATGCCACCATGAACTCAGCCTTGCTGATGTTTTATGTATAACAGAAACACACTTGTCTGGATCATCGGTTTCTCCCCGCTTCCAGCTGGAACAATACAACATGGCCACACGCAACAGACACGTCTCTTACACAAATCATACAGACATGGCAAAGGTAAATGGCGGTGGAGTTGCAATTTACTACAACACAATTCTTACAGCAGAGTCCCGAAAATACCTGCAAAATGTGACTGACCTTGAATTTGTTGTTGTCAAGGTTGAATCGCCAGTCACAGCTTTGATAGCAACTGTATACAGGCCACCAAATTACAGCCATGTGAGGTTTTTACCACAAATGCTATGTCTTTTGGACTCGTTGGAAATGATGAATCACCAACCAATTATTGTTTGTGGAGACTTCAATGAGGACCTTATGAGCAGAGGAAAAAAACCCATCCAAGAACTGTTGCAGTCAAGAGGATATGCACAACTGATTACTGCTGCAACTACCGAAAAACACACATTGATTGATCACATTTACATATCACAGCCATACGCCTGCCTCCAATCAGGTGTTCTGAATACATATCACAGTTATCATAACCCCATTTATTGTGTTATTCACTAACACAAAATGACTGCAAGGGTATGAGGGATATGGACTTGCCAAGTGTCACTCCCTATTGGCCTACTCTCGCCTAGAAGTCCTACAGATGGACCTAAATATGGATATCAGCATCTACAACAAGAAGTACAGGTGAGTCCTCTTGTAACATTATTTAATGTACTACTATTTTATTAATTCCTATACACTCTGAACCAAATTTGTTGAAAAATAAAGTCAATCATGTTCTCTTATACGCAGACACAACAGAACACCAGCCTCTACGTGGTGCGAAGCCTACTGCAACAAAAACGTGATCTTCATGTCTTTGCGACTGAGCACACTCTACCAGCAACACTGACAGCTCACCAGTGGGAGCTCATAGATAAGACTGCTGGTGTGCTGTCATCCATTGAAGAGCTGACCAGAAACGTGAACAGAAAAACTGCAACTGCACCTGATGGGATCCCTGCCATAACAGGTAATTGTATTTTTGTTTCTTTCTTTATATTGTAACATTTGATATTGATATTGTTTGAAACAAACTATAATCTCATTCATCCATTAAGTCATCCATTCATTCATAACTCCTCAGATGTGTTCTGTCCAGTGAAGGCAGTGGAGAAGCCCTACACTGATGTTGAAACTGTGCCACTCTTCTAGAAACCAGCTACAAGGATGGGCAGGTATAGTGAAATTAAAATGCACCTTTTGTTCAACAGGTTTACATACAGTCAAGTGATCAAAAGACACCAGTATTGAGCCAATTTGTTTTTTTACTTTTTAATTTAGTTTTGGGTAATTTAGTTCTAAAGTTACATTTGTTTTTGCAATTATTTATTAGAACTTCATGACTTGCCAGTTCGCTAACTGAAGACCTGCGCTTTGTGATGTCTCTTGTTTTGTTTTAAATTGTGTTTTGCTTTTATCTGTTTCTAGCTGTTTTCTGCAAAGTCAGCCAACCTCTTGCTTCCAAATGACCCTTATCCAGAAGTATCCGTGAATGCCTCATGAGAAGAAACTAAAGTGGAGACCTACCTCTCAGAGAAGAACGCACACATAAGAAAAGCGACCCACTTCAGTACTGGAAAGAACATCCTAATCTGTCTCCCTCTATGGCTGCTGTTGCGATCCCAGTGTGCCCCCTGTAGCTCTGTGGACAGTTTTTGATTTGATTACATCTCACCCCAACCGGTCGCGGCAGATGGCTGCCCCTCCCTGAGCCTGGTTCTGCCAGAAGTTTCTTCATGTCAAAAGTGAGTTTTTCTGAGCACACTCTACCAGCAACACTGACAGCTCACCAGTGGGAGCTCATAGATAAGACTGCTGATGTGCTGTCATCCATTGAAGAGCTGACCAGAAACGTGAACAGAAAGACTGCAACTGCACCTGATGGGATCCCTGCCATAACAGGTCATTTGTATTTTTTTTGTTTCTTACTTTATATTGTAACATTTGATATTGATAGTGTTTGAAACAAACTATAATCTCATCCATTCATTAAGTCATCCATTCATTCATAACTCCTCAGATGTGTTCTGTCCAGTGAAGGCAGTGGAGAAGCCCTACACTGATGTTGAAACTGTGCCACTCTTCTAGAAACCAGCTACAAGGATGGGCAGGTATAGTGAAATTAAAATGCACCTTTTGTTCAACAGGTTTATATACAGTCAAGTGATCAAAAGACACCAGTATTAAACCCATTTAAGCCAAGTATACGCTTTGATTGGAACTATATACAGGCCACCAAATTACAGCCACGTGTGGTTTTACCTCACATGGCAACTTACTTAATCAAAAGACACCAGTATTAAACCAATTTCTTTTTTTACTTCCTTTTTAATTTGGTTTTGGGTAATTTAGTTCTAAAGTTACATTTGTTTTTGCAATTATTTATTAGAACATCATGACTTGCCAGTTCGCTAACTGAAGACCTGCGCTTTGTGATGTCTCTTGTTTTGTTTTAAATTGTGTTTTGCTTTTATCTGTTTTCTAGCTGTTTTTGCAAAGTCAGCCAACCTCTTGCTTCCAAATGACCCTTATCCAGAAGTATCCGTGAATGCCTCATGAGAAGAAACTAAAGTGGAGACCTACCTCTGAGAGAAGAACGCACACATAAGAAAAGCGACCCACTTCAGTACTGGAAAGAACATCCTAATCTGTCTCCCTCTATGGCTGCTGTTGCGATCCCAGTGTGCCCCCTGTAGCTCTGTGGACAGTTTTTGATTTGTTTACATCTCACCCCAACCGGTCGCGGCAGATGGCTGCCCCTCCCTGAGCCTGGTTCTGCCGGAGGTTTCTTCCTGTCAAAAGGGAGTTTTTCCTTCCCACTGTCGCCAAAGTGCTTGCTCATAGGGGGTCATATGATTGTTGGGTTTATCTATATATATTAATGCTTGTATGCTTTTCATTTATACTTTTGCCTTAGTCTTCGGTTCATAATATAAAGTTACTTGAATGGTTTCTTTTTTCCTTATTTTATATTGCTTTGGTGTTTACCACAATCTAAATATCATGTTTAAATGGAATACATTATTGTAAATGGTATTTGTACAAAATATAGTTTCAAATACGATAAGACACCTTTATTAGTCCCACAAGGGGAAATTTCATAATTTGCATAATTTTCCCTTTTCACATTAAAATACCTTTGAAATACAAATTGAATACCACTTAATGGACTTTTTTTTCTACCAAGAAAACTTACTTTGGTTTACAATCTGTTAAACTGTTCACTTTAAACGACTCAAAACTGTAAAATCTAAATTGTAACTTCTCTTGAACACCTCAGACTTAAACATAATTTCTTTTATAGCTATTAACTTCTTTTGTAATGGTGTAACTGGAGCATCTTTCTCTCATCTCTGTATGCTGCACTGCATATAGCAGAGATCACAATACAGCTTACTTTTCTTTAACTTGAAAATCAGCTGTATTCAATTTCCCTCCCGCTTGTGGTATAAATAGCAAACTATGCTCATGTTGCATATTGCTCCCCCTACTGTTATAAATGGCAACCTGCACTAATTGCACCACATTAAAGGCAAACTACACTCATTGGCAGTAGCATAGGCACACTTAAAATTTCTTCAGAAATTTTCGCTTTCTAGTTTATTCTATTACTCTTGTTCTCTTCTGCTTGTTTTCTTTTTTCTTTCTCAGCAGGTGATCCAGGTGATCGATATATGCATTTTTTTTCTTTTTCTTTTTTTCTGCTCGTTCTGTTGGTTTTTGTTTTTGCCCTTCTCCCCCGTCCCTCTTCTCAGCTGTTTCTCTTTCCCTCTTTCTTTCTCCCCTTCTTTCCCCCAGTCAAGTCTGTCCCGTATTCAGTAAATGAAAATAAAATAAACAATAAAAGGTGAATCAAATGGACCATTACGGCAAGGCTGGGATGGTCAATTTGGTAAAGTAAATCCGTTGGGCATCTTTCTTTGCCTTTAGACAACAATTCTGATGGCAAAAGAGCCAAACGGGACAGGCAAAAAAAAAAAAAAATAGAATCATTCATCTTAGCAGTAGGATTTACATGAAAAGAGAAACAAATTAAGTTTGAGTGAAAATGTACATTTTTTGCACTCTCTGGTCGACTGACTCAGTGAATCAAATGACTCAAAAATCCGATTCACTTTGGTGAGTGACTCATTAAACTCGATTCAGTAAAAAGAATCAAATTTACCATCACTAATTGGTAATGTAAACGCTGGACCTCTCAGCATCTGCCATTCCTGAACAGACACATGCAAGTTTGTCCGTGACTGCAGCCGCGTCATCCATGTTTTCTACAGTCATTGGTCAGCACTATAATCTATGCAAATACGTGCGGGTCGAAATCCCCGCCCCTCCGGCTCAACCCCGGAGGCCAAAACAGAGCCAGCAGATTGAAACTGAAAAAAAGTGGATTGAAACTGAAAAATGGATGAAACTGGAAAAAAAAATTGTAAGCGAAAACAAAAAATGTACAGTTTCAATTAATCGTTTTTCACTATCAGTATTTTTTTTTCACTTTCAATACAAGATTTTTCAGTGCATTTGTTTCACTTTCAATATTTTTTTTCAGTTTTGTTTTAAGGTGGCATCGTTCTAATCCCATAAAAGACTGGTGAATATGGTAGTGGGAGTAGTTTGCCTCCACAGATTTCCAACACATACTTTGCCTCTGAATAATTGTCTTTTACCCAAACTGTTACATGAAACTAACCAAACAGTGTCTGAAAACCAATAAATCACCAAAAATGTGAAAAGAAAAAAGTCAACATTATGTTTTGATTAAATAAGTGACCACCTGCTGTTAAGACAGTATTCATGAGCTATTATCAATTTTAATGCACTAGCAGAGTTTAAGAGGAACATACAGCATGGCTTTGGCTGTATTAAAAGTAAAGGAATGCATCATCCATCTCACCTTCTAAACTTACAGAAATAAGGCCATTTGTGTTTGATTATCTTTGCTATTACAATGCTTCTTCCCTGGAAAGCCTGTTCACTTCCCTTTGAATGTTCCCACGCTTGTCAGGGAAATACATTTGAACACTGTGACCATGAAACACCTTACAAACCGATAGAAGAGTGTTACAAAATGATCACTGCTCTTTAGTTTTTATTCCTATTAGCAGATAGATTGCCTCTAATTGCCCGTCTATAAAACAAAACATTTAATGGCCTCATTCGATACGTGACCCCAGTTCTCTTATTTTTAAGTCTTAAGGTCCTATCAACTTTTACTGGATGCTACTTTAATAAGTCAAATATGTGTGTAGGCATCTTCAGTAACAAAAAGGATCAGTTACCAGGTGAGATCATCTAGGATTTTCATCCCCCCATTTTTTGTCCCTCAGCTCTTTCAGCAGCTCACAGGATCAACTCAGCAATAAATTTTGGAGAAAACAGTCAAACAAAAGTGATGAAAAACTGGATAAACCAGCAGGATTATGAAAGCAAGAAGGAAAAATGTGATCCTCACGTAGCCTCTTCATGCCAAAGTGGAGAAAACTTACCAACCCCCCTAACCAGTACTTTCTGCCCACAGTGCTCACATATGAACTGATTTTAAAGGTCACTCAGATCTAATGAGGTCATCCTGACACTAGTTAACATTCTTCTCTAAAAAGTCTTCCAGCAGCTTCATGTAAGAGAAGGCTGCTCATTAGACCTCCTTGATTAGGACACATGTGACCCCACAAGGTGGCCAATGGCACAGTTCGTCCTGACACTTTCAAGGGTTAAGTCAAGGACATTTGTGTCAGTCTTACAACTGAAATGTCTACACTTTTCCAAATAAAGATAAATATTATGTCTGATCAACTATTTTTTACATTCTTACAGCAAACAAGTGACAAAAGAGGTTTGCAACATGAATATTATCCCAATGCTTGTAGTAGTGACTGTTTATAAAGAATGTCTCATACCATGATACATCTATGAAGAGTTTTTCTCTTGGATCTTTCCTTTTATTTTATAGGATTTAAATGACTGAACTGTATATACTCCTGACAGGTAACGTCACAGTGTTTCTGTCCTTAAAATCAAAGCATAATGTAGCTGTTAAACTATAAATAAACCATGAGTGTCAAGGTCCCCTGTTGTATTTTAGCTACTCACAAATGGCACCCTTACAAACTCCAGCTACTGCAGCATCTCAGCGAGGATGACCCAGATCGGCGCACAGAATTTGCAGAATGGGCAAAACAAAAATTGGAACAGGACCCTCAGTTCACGCAGAAGATTTTGTTCAGTGATGAGGCAAACTTTTATGTGAATGCTGAAGTTAACAAACAAAACCACCGCTATTGGTGTGACACTAACTCACATTGGATGGATCCCTCCAAGACTGTTGGAACAACAAAAGTGATGGTTTGGTGTGGTATATGGGGTACAACGATAGTGGGTCCATTCTTCATCAATGGAAACCTCAAGGCTGCTGGATATTTGAAATTGCTACATGATGATGTGTTTCCCTCTTTATGCACTGAAGCTGGCACGTTCCCTGAGTTTTTCCAGCACGATGGTGCACCACCACATTATGGGTGCCAGGTCCGAGCATTCCTAGATGAACAGCTTCCTGGAAAGTGGACTGGTCGTCGTGGGCCAGTTGAATGGCCCCCAAGGTCTCCCGATCTGACCCCCTTAGACTTTTATCTTTGGGGTCATCTGAAGGCAATTGTCTCTGGTGTGAAGATCCGAGACGTGCAGCACCTGAAACTACGGATACTGGATGCCTGTGCTGGCATTTCTCCTGCGGTGTTGCTATCAGTGTGTGAAGAGTGGGAGAAGAGGGTTGCATTGACAATCCAACACAATGGGCAGCACATTGAACACATTTTATAAGTCGTCAGAAACTTGTAAATAACTCATGAAAGAATAAAGTTACGTTGAAACCAAGCACACCATTGTTGTTCTTGTGACATTACCAATAAGTCTGATGTGTCACATGGCCCTCTTCCTATTGAAAAAACAAAAGTTGTATCCAAGATGGCCGACTTCTAAATGGCCACCATGGTCACCACCCATCTTGAGGAGTTTCCCCCTCACATATACTAATGTGCCACAAACAGGACTTTAATATCACCAACTATTCCCATGTTATTACGGTGTATCCATATAAATGGCCCACCCCGTACATTAATAAATTCTCTTGTGTGCATCAATCCCCGGAGTCCAGTGCGTGAGTCCACCTTGTACACCGTGACAGTTCTTCATGACTTTGGCTGTGTTTGGGGTCGTTGTCCTGCTGCAGAATACATTTGGAGCCAGTAAACAATCATTTATACTTCTGAAAGCTTTCTTTGTTTACTAGTAATATATAGCACTGTATATTATGGTAAACATTACTTTTCAGGTGAGATGAAGAGGAGACAACCACCCCCCCCTCCCCCTCCAAAGGAACTGACTTTTTCTCAACATTTCAAAAAAAAAATGCAACCTGTCATTTTTCTACCACAGGTCAGCCCTCCTGCACTCCTGTCAAATGGCCCAGGTGTTGTCATTTAACCAAGGCTCTGATCTAGGTTTGGTTGCCTGATAGAGTCCAGAACAGTTTGGCAAGTAGAATTAAATTGAAGGTAGTTCTTTCATATGGAAAACACGGAGAGCTGTGAGGTCACTTTGGTCCTGCTCTGCTGTTAACTAGAAACAGTGGTTTAACAGCATGGGAGCATGCACCAGAGTCCACGAGTTCTGGAGATTTGTTCCTTGCCGGTGTAGGTGGAGAGGGTAGCGGTGAGGAAGTG